GAGGCAAGATAACATTCAATTTCCTATCCTTGTTTGTAACTTCTTTGCATTTTGTGACGCTAATTAGATGGAGAGCCAACAACCAGCGGATTCAACTCAAGAACCTTCGTTTGCTGACTTACCGGATGAGACATTGCGATTGTCACAACCTTCAAGACGATGCAACGGAGATGAAGACCCTCAAGAACGACATGTTCTTCCTCGAATAGATGGTGAGATACAACGCGTTTGGTATCACGACCTTGGAAGAGATTCTCGATGTTTGGTGATATTATTGGAGATAGGAACGACTCCTGATGGTGTTTCAAATGTATTATTTGAAGGAAATTATGAAGGCCTCAATAGTGATCAAATAACAGGGTGGTCTTCTCGCCCTGGAATGGGACACTATCGATGGCTAAGAGGACCCATCAACTATCTTCGAAGAGAACAAAGATCAGAGTATGTAGCAAATACAATTCGCCGCATATTAGATTTTCTCAATATATAATCACCGCTCCTCGTGGAACTCGTCCCTAGAAGGGGGGGTAATGTCACGGACATACATATAATTACCTATATGAATAGATAAAAATATGTAAAAGTAGGTTAATTGTGTAATATCTTCTAGAGAAGCTTCTTAGAAGCTTCATAGACGCTGCTTTGACTTTATAGGAGTCTATAGTTGACTTTTAGGTTAGAAACTTGGTCAACAAGTTAGCCATGTGCCACGCATGTTGGAAGCTTAAAGAACAAGCTAACTATGTGGTCCATCCATAGAAAACTTGCCTTGCAAGCAAAGACATGTGGCCTAGAAAGTCAACATATATTGGAGGTCTTATAGAACATCGCCACGTGGCTTCTAGTTAGATAGTATATATAGAGGCAAGAGTGAAGCCCTCTTCACTCTTGTCAACTCCTTTCTTGCTTCTAGTCCAGGTTCAAGAGTCTTTAGTTTCTTGTCTTGTGGCAATAGCCATTCCAGTTTCCTTTTAATATACCTACTTGTTTATATTTTGACTTATTATATCGAGATAGCCTTTTGGTGTATATTTTTCCTCATCAAGTCTTTGTCCTTGACAGGATGTTAAAGACTTTGTGAGTTCATGCATAGAGTGTCAACTACAGTCTAAAGTTTGATATAGAGATGGATTACATCCTACTTATCTACCTTCTATACATTTCCAATAGGTAAATGATTTCGTGGGAATATCATTAAGACTTTGAGGTATGAATTACTTGATTTTGGCAAGAAAATAGCTATCAAATTATGTTGAAGGGAGGGCTTTGAGAACCAAGACCACAAAAAGAATATGTAGATTTACATTGAACAACATCTTTAGTAGATATGATAGCATTAGAAGGATGAAAGTTAATAGAAAAAAAAATTAGATGTTGTGGAAAAATGAGGATTTTTTAATACATATAGAGTTCAACTGAAGTTAATTACTTTTTATAATCTTAAAGCCAATGAAAAGAGTGAGAAAAATCATTCTCTTTTCATTTATGCATTAGTTAAGGAATTATTTGCTTTATAGGCTAATAAGACTATTCACAATATTATTACTAATTATATGCTTATGGAATTAATATTAAGACAAAAACCTATGGTATTTGTTGAAAAAAACTATTATATATAGATATTTCTATCTTAAAAAGATAATATTAATAAAAAAATATTATTGGAGCTTCAAAAATAATAATTAGAAAGATTATGAAAAGACCTATAAATTGTAAGTGAAAGATTAAAAGAAGAAAGATTGAAAAATAAAAAAAAAAATTGACAAAACTCATAAGTCAAGGCCTAAGTCTATAGAGATTGGAAATTGTGTTTTAGTTTATAATAGCAACTTTGAACATCAACATAGAATTTTAAAGAAATTTGCAAAAAATAGTTTGGACTATATGTGGTAGTTAAAATCTATGATAATGCCATATATATTTTATGTGAGTTATATAGAGCTATCATTACAATTCCAATAGGAAAGAAGAAAGTTGAGGCTTTTATGAGAAGAAATGGATAGCTTAAAATAGAAGACCTTAAAGAATTTTTACTTCAATATTTGAACTAAGAATATGAAGTAAAAGAACCTATGAATGATTCTAAGAAATCTCAAGAGAATAAAGAGGAATATCATGTGGCACATATTGGAGGATGTGTAGGTTTAGAGAAGGTAGATGTTGTATTATAATTATATATAGTATGTAAAAATTAATTAAAATATATAATATATTTATAAGTATTAATATATATTAGAGTGGTTGATAAATTAATTTAAAAAAAAATTATATAAGAAAAATTATTTTGAAATTTACCTATTTTGATTGTAGTATTTAAATTATATAGGATTTAGATATTTAGTATAAAATTTAAAGAAAAGATTGGAGCTCAAACATAAAAATCCAAATATCTAAAAAAACATATTTAAAAGATTTAAAAGAAGGTATGGATGGATGAAGACAAGGAATAAAGATCTTTATTCTTATTGGTCAGAAAGCATACTCAATAGGCTTTTAAGAGGCTATTTGTGACCATAACAAGGATTTTGGTGACTTTAAAAGGGACATTTTGAAAATCAAATGCAAAGATTATAAGGTTTAGGATTTGAGCTATAATTTGTGTACAAATTTTAGAAGATTTGGAGTTATGATGATGAAATAATAGTCATTTGAAGTTAAGATATCTTTTTAAGATATATTATTGTTGCTCTTTTGAGGATATAAGGAATTGAACAATAGCTTTTAGAGATCAAGAGATTTGATTGCAAGGATGATTTTAAGATCTATGTCTTTTATAAAAGAATTTTTGCATTTAGAGTTTGTATAAAAAAGTTATATAATATTGAAGACAACACATGTAATTTAAAGGCAATAAATGAGTTGTTTTTTTGATAGTAATGATTGGAGCCATATCTTGAGTTTCGAACAAATTTTTTGTTCAAAATTTCTAAAAGTGTGTTTTAGTAGGTTAAAGAGCTATATATCAAAATTTTATGGTATTTGAGTACTTAATTTGTGAGATATGAAGAAAATTACACATAGGTATATATATGCAAGGATTTGAAGCTAATGCTAGGATTTTAGAAATATTTCAAGATTCATAATGAATTTTTAGTTGAAATTTGTTATGGTAGTTGTTTCAAGATACATCAATACTTTATATAAAATTTTAGTTTGTTTGGACAGTCCGATTATGAGATGTGAATTGTTGAAGTTTGAAAAAATTTTACCTTAAGGATATATAAGTTTTTGGAATATTTTTATGATATTTTTGGATAATCTTTGGTACTAAGGACTTATGTATAGATGTAATTGCCTCTATAAGGATATTTTTTTACATAAATTTAGTATTTTTTTAACTTGAAACTTGGTTGAGTAATTATTGATAATTAAAAGCTTAGTACTTTTTTAAAGCAATTTTTTACTATCTCGACAATGTTTCCATGTAGCTTTCAAATAGATAGTATATATAAAAATAAGAACGATGTCTTTTTCATTCTTGTCAATTCTTTTCTTGTTTTTATCTAGTTTTAAGAAATTTCTAATTTTCTTGTCTTTTGGTAATTGCCATTTTGAGTTTCTTTTATATATATACACTTCCTTATTTCTATTTTGTCATGCTTTTTTGAGAAAGTTTTACTTGTTTAATTTCTTTTGTTAAGTTCTTGGCTTTAACAATTATATAAGACAATGAATATCTTGAAAAGAAGACAAATGCCAACTTGTCCTATAGAAGTGGATTATAATTAAGAATTTAAGATAGAAGAAGTCTTAGATTTAAGGCGGTGCCGATATAGATTAGAATATCTTATTCATTGGTATAGATATAATATTAATAAAGATACATGTGAGCTAGTAAAAAAAACTTGCAAATGTAGCAAAGAGAGTTAAGACTTTTTATCAATAACATCCATCAAAACAAAGATAAAGAATAGCAAGTTCTACGAAAGATGATGACTTCTCTTCTTAGAACTTATTCCTAAAAAGAAGAATAATGTCACAGACATATATAATTATTCCAATAATTATGTATATGATTAAGTAGAAGTAGATAAAAATAAATTGATTTTAAAATATCTTCTAGAGAAGCTTCCTAAAAGCTTTATAAAAACAATTTTGACTTTACATATGTTTGTAATTAAGTATTAGGTTAAAAACTTGGTCAACAAATTAATCACATACCACACATGTTGATGGCTTGTAGAACAAGCTTACTATGTAGTGCAAATATAAAGAACTTACCTTACAAGTTAAGATATGTATCTAATAAAGTCAACATATATTGGAGGTCCTACAGAACATCGCCACATAGCTCTTAGTTAGATAATATATATGGATGTAAGATTGAAGCCTTCTTCATTCTTATCAATGCTTTTTAGTGTCATTAGTCTTATTTCCAAACTTCCTAGTCTTCTTGTCTTTGGCAATAGCCATTTTAGTTTAATACTATATCATCTTTGAATAATTTTCTAGTCTTTTTGAGTGATATAAGAGTGTATTGACCTTTTAGTTCTTTGAAGTTCATGTCCAATGATAGTTGTATATATATATATATATATATATATATTTAAAAACTCTTTTAAATACAATATGACTTAAAAAAAATCCTCTATAATTTGATATTTTAATAATTATTTAAATTAACAAAAAAAAATGATCCTAATTAATCCTTAACTTTAGCTTTATATATTTTGTAAAATGACTATAATATTTATTACTAATCAAAATTTAATCATAGATTTAACCTATTTTATTTATGTTTTTATGGAGTGAACACGAAGAAATCATCATATATTGAATAATATAATACTTCCACAATTTACAATTATGAATTTATGTGACACGATTTGAAATTATTGGGTTTGTTGTGGATACGGGGGTCCACAGGAGTAAGTGGTTTCTAATCCGTGAATTCAACAGTGGATGTCATTCGTTCGTCTCCACACTTCTCTGCATATTCTGCGTACCTTCCTGGTTGTCGTCCAATTCAATTCAATTCCAATTCCGATTCAACTTCTACAATCTTTTAGGGTTACCTGGTCATTGTCTTCCAACACCCCTTTCGCAGGCAATCTGCCTCCTCGTTTCCTCTGTCGTGCTGCCTGTCCTCATGCCTTCTCGGGCTTCATGATCTCCCTGAGCCTTATGCCCTTCCCTGTCCTCCATCATCACCAGCTTTTGCAATGGCCCACGACGTCGTGGCACGCCTCGTTAATCGCTGGGAGGAAATCCAAGATGTTTCGGAGACCGAGACTGATGACATCGTCGAATCTGAATTCCGTCGCTTGAAGGAGAATTGGTACCTTCACAGTTTCCCTCACTCATGCTCAATTCCCCTCCCTGACTGCCCAATTCAGGAGGCGGCGCATTTTTATCCGGAAATCTATTATCATTTTCGTAAACATGACATGGGATTTATTTCTTTTTTATAGTTGAGATCGAAAGGACTCAATTTATGTCGAACCCGCCATTTCCACAATCAGTCAGCTGAAAGTCGGCTTCCTACCGAGGCCTCTGATGCAGCTAGGACTTCAGGTTTTGTGGATTAGGCGTGGATTGATCGGTGGTGCAGCTGTGAATGTATGATTGTCCAGGTCTTGCTCCTTCGCGAGGATACGTCACTAAGAGTCCATGCATTGCAGTTTTCCGTCTTTCAAGCTAATATCGAACTCTTGTACTTTGTGACGAGTTTTTGAAGATTGTAATTGACAAGGGTGATGGAGCTGCCCTTGAGTTTGTTTAATTATACTCTCGTCTCCCGAGACTCCGTTGAAAATACCGTAGTATCGGTCCAGAGTGTTCAGTGGTCGACTAGTAGAACAGCCTGCCATCTAATGTACTCTGTGTCTTCATTGGCTACGTTGCGGTAAAGAAGTTTTTGTCATTCTTGTCCTATATGATATAATGTACTCTTAGGATGGGATTATTTTTGCTTATCTTCATGGAAATTCCATTCACCAGTGAGCAATTCGAAAGGCTAAGTGTCAGCTGTTTTCTTTGGCAGGTTTGTGGATGCGTTCAAGCTTCTCCAGAGTGCCCCACAGGAGGAGCATTGCTGGTGCACTTTCAAGTCTGTCATGTTTCCGCTGCTTGAGCCTTTCTCATTTTACTTTGAATCCCCTAATCCGCAGTCAGACTTGCATGCACTTTGGCGGCGTCTGTGTTCCGAGCTCAGTGAATGCGTTAACTGTGTCGTTCTACACCACAAAGCAAAGGAGGATTATAAGAGAGACTACCATGAGGTTCACGTAGAACCTTTGCTGTCTGCTTTGCAGGTATATGAATATATATATATATATATACACACACTCACACACACAATCTCAAATGCGAACAACATAGGGCAATATTAATAAGACTTTCTAATATCTGTCGAGGTTACTTATATTAATTAGTTATGAATTGTGAAAGGTGAAATGGTTACTTCCTTCATGATTTTTCATGTTTACATGCGATGGTTGACTACATTTCCTCACCAGTCCAGACCCCGTACCACAGGTTTTTCTGGAGCTTTTTAGTTTTCTAACAGGGTTGTCTTGCTTCGTGTTCCATTCTCATTGTCTAGCAGTGCAGTGTACGTCAGAGTGAAATTTAAGCTTGCATGTTTTCTGTGCAACGTCATTGTTATAAGTGAATCAGGGAACGGCAGTTGTGAATACAACCGAGTCTCATGAAGTGTAAATCTGGTGTAAGGTTTAGTATTTTTTCTATCTGCTCGTCAGATTTGTCGAAAGAGGCGTTGTCACTGATTGGTCGCTCGTTTTGTATCTAGGTGTTGGATGAAGAGCGTGTAGCATTTCATCTCAAATCGCTCATGAAGATAATCCAAGATGGAAAGTATGACTCTGGAAAGCATACCAATGAAGTGATTACTGTCATGTTTGAGGTTTGAACTGCCCATTGCTTAGAATGTAGCCTGGATGTTACCTGTTTTTCCGTGTCACGATATACGCACACTTATTTTTGCTGCTAGCATTGGTTGTTAAAACTGGTAACCGTGCTAAGCTAGCTGTATGAATCTAATAGATAGATGCTTAGTAATGGCCTTAATGATCATGTCGTTGCTCGAAGATCAACAATGCTATTCGCATTGGAGATGAAAAGTTGGTTGACCACTTTACTGGAGGTTGATAGTTTGAACAAGTACACACCTTCAGTCTACTGCAAGCTGGTTAAGTGAGCTCTGAGATCGTGGGATTCCCTTTCGACTTCTATTCAATCTGCTTGTGTTGTCTGTTGCTTGTTCCAATCTGGTGGCTGTCAATTATCGCTTTCTTGCAGGTACTTATGTTTCCATCTTTATTAGAGGATGCAGAAGTGAGTGAGCTTTTTGCACCGTTTCTGCAGTATGTAGAGGACTCCCACGACCTTGCCTTGGCCAAGGGCCCGCAGTATCCGGTACACCCTTGACTTGGAACATATATGGACACATGTACTTACAATCGAACTCTTAAGTAACCACCACTCACGTATTTTCCTCTACGTAGTTATGTGTACTGCCTAAATGGTTGCTTTAGTCGAATGTTACCATGTAAAATTAAGTAATATCTACTATAGGAGTCCTTCAAAGCAGTACCTGTTGTACGATATTTTATACTAAGTTCTTTTTTGCCAGTATTTATAGAAAGGTGATGGAACAGTGCTTGTTTATCCTATGGAAGTGATTTGAGGAGGAATTGTTTTTCTTATAAACTTTGTTTATATTTCTGCAGTTTATGTCCCTTCTGAGCATTTTTGCTTCAGCTAAAGGTGCAAGTTGTTCGAAGTATTTAACGTAACTATTCTCTTTCACTCATTTTATTCTAAAACGTGTTTTGTGTGTCTGGGATTGTGGCAGGGTGTGTACACACTTCTTGTTCATTCGGATCAGAAAGTTCGGAGAGTAGCTTTTAAACTTGTTCAGTCACTTGAAATGATTAAGTATGTTTGCATTTTGTGCTCATTGAACCATCTAGTCAATGTTTTATATGATCATTTGTAACGGTTGGTGTTCCTTTTATGTGGCAGTTTGATTTTACGTCGTTGTTTTTGTGTCATAACGTGCTGATGTTTACCCGCGTAGTAACATTATTTAATGTCTTAAATCAGGTTTGTTGATGTTTTCATTGTCAAATTCTTCCCCTCTTTTTGTTTCGGGTTCTAATCTGGGATTTCAGATTATCAAATTCAGCAGAGTTTGTCTCCTTCCATTCGATTCTTTGTCCTCGTATAGCTTTGAACAAGTAGACTGATGTTAAGATCAAATCTTTTGAAGGACTAACCTTGGGGGGTTTTAAGTTCTTAACGTTGTATCATAGTGACCTCGAACTATTAAGCCAAATTGTGATGTTGTTGCCATCCGACACCTTGGGCCTTTGACGTGAATTGACCATTAAGGTCTGAAATGCGTCGTGTGAAGGACATTTCAGTCAAGAAGATACTTCTAAGCCATTCTTGTTTTGGGTTTATGCAGGGATGCTCAAGAGATGGAGGCTATTGCTCCTCTTTTGGAAAAAATAATGCATAGCCTTGAATTTGAAGAATTCGAGTCAGGAACATCTGGCGCCGGTCCGAGGAAACTCATCGTTGGAGAGAAAAAGATCATGCAGTCGTCGCAATTCGGAAAATCGCGGTCGAGGGTTCGCTTTAGGCGAGAAACTTTGTGGCTGGGCCTACCTAACATGTATATTTTAAACTACTGAATGTTTGGTTTGAAATTGGTCTTTGATGCGCTATTTTTTCGTATGGTTCGGCGCGCTCTTATTTTATCGTTCTATGACTCAAAACATTTTTGGATACTTTTGACTTTGGTAACTACATAATCATCACAGGCGACAGGTTTTCAGTGTCCTGTATGTTTATATCTTAGACCCCGTCACATTTTAGTATGTCTTCGAATAAAGTCTTAGTAGGAAATAAGTTTCTACTAAGTCTGATTTTCTGTTGAGAATATTACTTAGGCTCTTTGTTTCCATTTCAGATTGGAGCGTCTGCAACCTGCTGCTCTTGACGGAATTGTGGAGCGCTATTCAGTGTTTGTGAGCATTGTGCTCAATCATGTCAGTGAGGAAAACTCTGTATTCTACAACGCTCTCAAGTGCCTGGAGCTTTTACTCTGTAACCTAGGTAATAAATTCCACTGGTGTTATTGAAGAATCAAATATCAACAAATGATATTGTTTACAAGCACAACGTTGAATGTGTGTCATATTATTGTTACTCATCAAGTTCTTATTCTATCAATGTGTAAAATGCAAAAGCTTTCAATTCCCAAGTGCAATTTTTTTGTATCTCAATTCTTTTTCTTTTTCTAAATTACAAGTTTGCCATTTGTAGCCATAATGAGTTTTAAGCCTTAGAAATCAGTCGAGTTTGACAGAGTTATTCTGCTCTCTCTTCATTCCACTATCTGGATTTGATCAGTGTGCTTTGTCTCTTCGATTCATATTTTTATTTGGCTTGTGCAAATCAATGCATCTGGTCTACATGCTATTTTAGATAAGAAAATTGTTGTCTTAAGTATTGGTTTTTTTTGAACTGTATTTTCATTTTGGAACAGGCTATAGCTTTTGGCTGCGCACAACTTTTTCGCCTGGAGTAGTGCGTAATACTCTTGTCAGCCAGTGCTTTCATTCGAATGAGCAACGGATGCACAAGAGCATTTTTGAGCTGTTTCCTCCCTTTTTGATGGTTTGGTCCCAACCCCCCAACTTCTCACCACCATCTTAATGATATTCTGTACTTACATAGAATAATCTTGAGTCATCGTCTCGTACTCTGCACTTTTTGATCTTTTTGCTAAGATGAATTGATTTGAAATGTAATCGGAAAAGGTGATTTGGATGGATATTCGATTTTGTTTCAGCGTTATTTGCTCATGATCTTTTGCCCTAGTTCATGAAATTGTATTGTTTTTGATGAATCTTTGTATGTCAAACTACAAGTTGATAATCATGATCATGGGAACTTCAAGGTTTTTGATTGTTATATGCACCAGGACATTATAGCTTGTTTGTTAATCAAACGAGCGTAGAGTATTAGGGGGACATCGATAGTGCAGCTGCTCCAGGCAAAATCTCAAATCTGAAGTAGTTACTTGACAGCTGTTGATCAGTTGGATTTGCTGTTTAGGATATACCTTTCGTTGGGTAGTTGGGATAATTGCGAGATGCGTAATGTTTATGTGAGCAAGGTTTTCCTTTTCTGAGTAAATGTGTTGACTTTAGTCTTTAGAAACGCTGCAAGATGCGTACGAGCGGCAGCGACGTCGTCTACTATATTTCTTGCTGCAACAAGTGCCAGCCAGCAGGAACTTCAACCTTACTATGCGCTGGAAAGCTCGTCAGGTTCGTGTTGTTTTTTTTCCAAGGTCGCTTGTAAAAGTGTGGTATTTCTCTTTCTGTTTTTTGGTCAAACATAGTCCGAACTTCTTTTTAGTTGTGACATATAGAGCATATTTTAGAAGTAATTTTCCTGCTTTAAATCAGTGTTGCAAGTTTTATCACTTCAATGTTGCAGGTCGAGTCTTAGTTTTATTCCGAATCTGCGGCATGGACCATGTTATCGATGTGCTATTGTGATTGTTCCGAAGTTTGACTACCTATTTTTTTGCTATAAAGGTAATTTGTTAATGCTTAACGTTATTTACTTACTGCGTCGGATTAATGTTCCTAGTGCATGATCTAAATGTGGCTGCTGACGTCTAATGTATTTTAGGTCTCCTTCAGAATAATCTATAGCGGTTACATCATGGAACCTCCTTTGCCACCATGGGAGTGCGCTCATGTCTGGTATGTTTATGCACTTTTCTAGCCAACCGGAAGGTGAACATATATGCAAAGAGATGATATCGCGATTCTTAAAATTTGCAAAAGTTCAGAGGATGTATTGGTACCATTTCTGTGTGCATTGTTTTTTCGTTAAGTTACCGTTGTTGATGTTTGCCAGGGGGCCACCATTGGTTGAGACATTGAAAGACCCCAACATGCATGATTCCTTCCGATCTGCAGCTTTTGATCTCATTCAGACTATTTTAGCCGCGGATACCTCAGCACTAGCTGCCTTTTCACGGAAGTCAGAGAGTTCAGCACATCCTTGGAGCCACCTTTGGGAACGCTGTAGGGACGAAAGTGATCATGAGTTGAGAGCTGGAAGTGAGAGCTCCCGAGATCAAGATTATTGGAAAATTCTCAAGAAAGTCAGTGATACGGTGTTCGAAGGACTTGAGAAGTGGTCCTGTGTCCCTTTACTTTGGGTTGAGGTTTTGGGTGGTGTGTTGGCCTATCCCACGAGCTTTTACAAATCTGTGTTGTGGGCTTATGGACGAATAGCTATTTTTGATATACCAGGTAATTACTTATGTTAACTTATACTTTTCTTAGGATTTTAGAGTGTCTCGAGGCGCTAGCTTTACTATACTACAATGTACCCTAAAGAATTGTCTTTATTGTAAGATCATGTGTCTTCAAGGTTCTTCAAGCTATGAACTTTGGAAGGGGCAATGAATAGTTTAATGTGTTAGTGCGTTGTGGAGATTTACTACTCTTGAAAAACTGAACTCAGTTTGAGGTAATCCACGTTGTGCATGATACCAGCCTGGGCTGCTCTGGTTATAATTTTAATATTTGCCTTATTCTTTTGGATATCTTGTATTAACCCTTCTAGTTGGCTGCTTTATTAGTATTTAAGACTGGTTGGGGAGATTGTTTCTGATGTGTGACGTGAAACATGCAGGTAGTATGAAGGTGTTGCATCTTGACGTAGACTCCAGGGTTTTGAGGTGGGAAATGCCGAAAGGTTATGATGATCAGAGCGACAATGATGCATGTGAAAATGTAGTTTCTGTCCAGAAAAATAGTATGCAACTGATCAGCACCTTCAAAAGGTAATGAAGTTTTGGTAATAATCAATTTTCCAACCTAGGTTGATCTAAACATTTCCGAAATTCACATTTGGTCTTCGAGCCATTGAGCTGAACAAGCGTGTTGGTACCTGTGTGCTTTTAGTTTTCTGTTCAGTCTCTTACTTTTCTGTTTGTGCATTTTTTTATCGTTGTACTTAGTGCAAGAGTTCTGCAGAGGTTTTATGTGCCTCTTATCCTGGTGAATGTTTTACATTGAAACTGAAATGTCAACTTCCATCCGATATTCTAGTATCTGTTTGGAGGAGTGAGACATTTTCCATTGCTTGAATGGTCAGCGAATGTCATATGCATGTGATTTTGATTGCAATGCTTGTTTCGTTAGTTTTCTGAAGTGAGGTGTAACTGCTAAAAGATATGCAGATGGGTTTCTAGGACGCTTGGGCACCGTATTGCACCACTTGACTTTGGAGCCCTGGTTCGCTGAACCTCTCTTGCTGTTGCTGATGAGCTCAAATCCTGTAAGCATGATTATTAAGTGAATAGGAACTACAAGTTTTTTCTTTCTTACAAGTCTAGTGTGCTCTAGCGTCATATTCAAATTTTTCTTGTTTCTTCATGAAATACAATGTACAAACACTGATTTAGTATGTGACTTTGTACTTGGTGTCACAATCCCTGCTATTTGGGGTTTTCGTGCACTATGCAGCACACCAGCCTATTGTTTTGACGGCTTTGCATACAGGAAGTTGTTTACTAATTTTGATTTTTATCTGTGTAAAGCACACTAAGGAACATTACTTGGTGCGATGAATGCTCAAGAACTATCTTTTGTGCTTTGATAAATGGTGGTTGTTTTCTTGGGTTTATAGGTTTGGAAGGAGGTCGCTCAGAAAGTTCTCGTTCAATCTGGTGCAAGTTCATCTTTGGAGTCTGGCCTGAAGCTTCTTTGCAGCAGTGAAACATCTATCAGCGCAGTATGTAATGCGGTTCGCCATGCCTCCAAAACGGTTGGTTTTTAACTCGTGAACGTTGGAAACTCAATGGTACTGTGGTGTGTGTCGAAGGACTTCAATTGGATATCTGAAGCTCTTATTTTTGTTTGTAAATGATACTGTGTGATTTCATACTAAACCATGCTGAGTATTAATTCAGTGTCAATTCTGAAGAAATCTTGTGTGAATGAAGTAAAGGTTTGCAGAAGGTGTAGTCTTGACATTGTGTGTCCATCCCGGAAAGTTTGCGGTTTAGGGTTTAGAATTTCTACGTTCTGGTTTACAGCTGTGGGAAAATGCTAAGGATAGACATGGAAGTATTTTATGAGGAGCATCCTTTCTTGAATTTTTTGAACTTTATCTTGAAAAAAACATTTTAGGAGAGTAGTGCTTGTAACTAACTTCATGTTTCCCATGGCAGTTAATGAATTGGCCTCTCGAGAATTGTGAACGGGCTTTGAGCCAGCTTTTTTTCCTTGGATTGAAACTTCTCAACGTAAACCAAGGATCTATGGAGACCGTGGGAAGTAGTAGTAGTTCTTCAGTGCTGCCGAAACTTTGGAAGATTTTATCAGCTACTTTGTGGCCTCTGTTGGGCAGAACAATTATGGAAAGCAAGGATCTTATTAGCGGCAATCATGAGGTATTCTGTTTTTTATGATTTGCTGAAATTTGTGTCGACTTTTCTGTTGATTATTGGCTCCTGTCTAGGAAGATATGGAAGAGGTGCAGCATAATGCTGGGAGTGATATATTTTCTTACTCACTTTTCTCCATTTATGTTATAAACTTGAGCGTGGTAAGTTGTCGCTTGTTTAGAAAAGAACGCAGATTGTCTATGTTACTTTATAAATCATTTGTTCCTTTTGGTCGTTTATTGCAGTTGATGTTAACCCGGATGCTTCAGCTCTTGCCATTTGTATGCAAGCACATACCAATGGCGTTTCGGAATGCACTATTCGGAAATCTTCATCCATCACGGAATAGCATGAACTGGTTCCATGAGTTTCTAGCTCTAGGCGGTCTGGCTTCAAGAGCAGTACTTAGATGGTGGCAGAATGCAGCCTGCGCTATCGTTGACAATTTGGTACAATCAGGGTCCTTATCTTCATCCTTAAAAGACATAATTAGCGATTTTCTCAAGCCAGGTATTAAGTCGTCTTTTTTTAGCAGGCTACTGTGTGCTGTTGATTTAAGGTGGGGTGTAAAGAGTACTGTATGAGCAACGCGCCTGTGTTGTCATTTTTCTGCATGCTGCGAGGTGGACCTGTTTTGAGGCGTATTCTGTTGTGTGCTTCGTGCTTATTAAATTATAGTTACTTTGGCTTGTTTCATTAATCCATTTTACCACTCTGCATTAGAAGCTTTGACTTAAGTTCATGCCATGAAGACTTTTAGTGTTTTTTTTTCCTTGTCCTTGTTTAAGTTCTGAAATGTGAGTGGTCATATAACATTGGTAATAATTGTACAACAGGGTTACTTGACGGAGGTGGGTTTGATTCTATGTACTGTAGGCAGATCCGTGGGTGAAGAGCTTAATTTTCATATTTTAAAGGTAATTTGTGCAGAGATGGGACACACCACTTTTTTGGTGAAGGGCGGCGCATTGTATGAACTAATTTCAACATTTCTGATGCTTATTCCGTCGTGGTACAGAGTGTCCTCTGGATGAAGACCAACAGCGGCAACTGAAGTCGCTTATAGAATCTTCTTCTGCTAGCCATTCTTTTGCTAGGAGTGGGCATGATTCACCTGCGTTTCACAAAACCTCAGATTTGGAAGGTTCCACTGGCATTGGTCCACAAATGACAGCAGCTGTTATTGACCTGGATTCCGAGGATGAAGACGCTGATGAGGACAGACAGCGTCAGTTAAGGGTCGTCGAAGTGATCGACCCCAAAGGACTAAACAGTGATGTCATTGACTTGGAAAGACTGGATCATGTTACTTCAGCTATGTGTGGTGTATCTGTGAAGGCCCACAAAGACCATGACGGTAAAGATCGGATTGACAAGGAAGAGGAGGTGGAAGTGGAAGAGGAGATGGAAGATGAAGAGGAGGTGGAGGCTGAAGATCCAGCTGATAACGTTCCATTAGCTTCTCTGTTTCTGAAGCCGCAATCAGTGCAAACTTCTCGCATTGTGATTTCTCAAACGCGAAAATCAGGTGTGATGAAATGTTCTTGTCTTAACATGTTGAAAATTGATGAGGTAAAAAGAGCACCTGTGTATATTTAGTTAGCAGCCAACCCTGTCAATGGTCATTGCATTCTAGGCTTTATGGAAGTCTTGTTTTTGTTAAGTCGTCAGTGATTATGAACTTAAGGTGTTGTATTCTTCTACAGTGCTTACCTCGGACCAGTTTGAGGATTAAAGGGATCTCTCATTTCTTATGCTCATGGAAATTCTCTGGTTCCTGGCAGGTGGAAACAGGCTTGGAACTTTAGATAAATATGTTCATAGGTCACTGAAGCTACCCACTACATGTCCAGTTAAGAAAAAGCGATCTGTTTTCCAAACCAAGCTTCGTGCAGCACCCTTGGCACCCAATTATCAAATCCCTCCATTAATCTCCAAGCAGCCCACTGGCAACAAAGAGCAGGTTTCAGCTGGTAAACAGCCAGTCGTGGCAGAATCTGTCCACAAAAACAAGCCACAGGTTGGAATTCCTCTCTTTGCTGGTGCTTTTGCTTCAATGAAACAACTGGTTTTGTTCTCCGAGGGTGGCTCAATTTTGTCTTTCAGATGTTTTTGTGTGTCATGATCAGTGTCTCTTTCGTGTAGAAGTTTGTCGTTATATGCATATTTTCGTAATATCAATGGTGACATCGCTTTCGAAATCTGTCAGACCCTATCGTACATTCACTTATCAATTTTTGTGTGATTTTAAAGCCTTCGCACTTTCACCTTTCCAAAGTACCATCAAGTACTTAATATAAAAGTTTGAGACTTACATCAGAAGGTGTGTAACAGGTTTTGGCAGATGATACATTATCAAAGCCGGTAGGGCATGCCCTACGAGATGGTGCTGTTTTGCGAGAGTTGGTAATGGATGATGATGATGAGCTAACAAAGGCTCTAAATGCGCGTAAGTTGTCAATGCGCGATGGTATGGGGAAGGAGAAGCGTAAGATCATGACTTTGCAAATGCCTGGAGAGCAGATAAGACCTAGTCCGTTAGCACGACCTGTACCTGTGCGGGCACCCCCTCCTAAAATGGACATGTGGTACCGACAGATCTTATGTATGGATTACTTTTCTACCGTTGGGCTTGAATGTCTCTGGGTCGAGGACCGTTGTGAGACCGCCCCATTGACTAAGATTCCATCAACGTTCCCATCGGTGGAGAAGTACAAAGAAATTTTCCAGCCATTCCTTTTGGAGGAGTTCAAGGCACAGCTGCACAATGAATATCGAGAGCTGTCACTGTCCGATGGGAAAACCTGTTCAGTCTTGCGATTAATGTCTCTAGAGCGTGTTGATGAATTTCAGATTGGACGATTTTTAGCTGATGTAGGAGAAGATGCTGCGCGGACGTGGACTGAAAGTGATTTGTTACTGCTGACGAGATATCGTTTGCAGATAAATGAGCCACAAAGTTGTCATATTCTCGCTAAGGTACTTCTCAGTTGTCTTTCATACAACTATTCCGACCTTTAGTCCAATCTCGCATCCTTGATACGATTTGTTACAGATAATACAATATATTGCAGCTGTTCTGCATTACATTCTCCTTTAGGGTTATCTGAATCGGTCACAAATTTGAAGTCTATGCGTTATTTCACAAACAAGATTGATATTTGTCCTAATTGCTTTTTCGTTTTGCAGGTGGACCGGAAACCAGAAAGAGAATTCCGGGGTACTACTACTACTATTGTGCTCAAGCTTTGTATGCCGCTTGGGAATAGTCGTCTTCAAAATGCTAAAAAGTATTTGGTCGTTCGCAGCAAGTGGCACTTAACCCGTGTGATGAATTTGTCTACGCAATTACGAGAATTCCAAGCTCTTTCTGCCATTGGCAACCTCCCTCTTTCGCGACTTGTTCTGTGTCCATCTACTTCTGAGAAAACTAATTTATTGAAGAATGGAACAGCTGGGTTAAAAGATCTAACTGCAGAGCTTGGTGATAGAATTAAAGCTGATTACAATGAGAGTCAGGTTTCAGCTATTGCTGCAGCTGTGGGGAGACAAGATATTGCTGCTGCAGACCACCAGCTTGCCTTGGTGCAAGGACCCCCCGGTAAGCTAGATTTCTTTTTAGATAGTCCGGTGTCCGAAAACTGTGTATGCCGGCCGCTTGATTGTTTTGTTTGCATAGGATTGTCGGATCAGTTTTCCTACCGTATCCAACCTGGTGCGATTGTTCTAAGGGTTCAGTCATTTCTTCTAAATATATCTAACGTTACTTGATGTTCTTGTGCTTAATGTACTGGACCTAGATTTACTCTGGATTGTATTGCTATTAAGCTGGATGTGGTATCAGAACACTCGTATGTATATGTAAATGTATATGTGTATTGCAGTCAGTAGTCCAAAGGTGTTCAATACTTGATAATGCATTACTACATGAGTGTTCAGGCACAGGTAAAACTCGAACTATTGTTGGTATCGTTAGTGCGTTGCTAGCTTGGGAACCGCAGTCCTCCAAAACCTCAGATAAGAACAACCAGCGTGTATCTACGAATGCAAGAGGTGGTGGTGCTGTTCGACCATCTGTTTCCAGCTCTGTTGCTCTTGCAAGAGCCTGGCAACATGCAGCGTTGGCACTTGAGATCAGTGGCGGGAAGGAAAACTTATCAGGAAAAGACAAGGAGGCCACCATGAACCGTGGAGGATGTGGAAAAAGAAGAATCCTTGTTTGTGCTCAGTCCAATGCTGCTGTTGACGAACTAGTAGCTCGATTGTGCAAGGATGGCATTTATGGCAAGCACGGAGATTTTTTCCGACCACTTTTGGTAAGGGTTGGAAACGTGAATAGTATCCACCCAGCCTCTATGGATATCTTTATCGACACTTTGGTGGGAAAGAGACTTGCAGCTGAGAAAAATGCAACCAGTATTGATGATAACAGGCAGCAGAAGACTGTCATGCTTCGTCGAAAGTTGGAGGAGGTGATTGAATCAATACAGGTGCGCTTTTTCTAGTCCTTTTTGAGAAACAAAATATAGAATCATTGTGTAGCGTATTCCATATTTTTCATATACTGTTGAAAATCAATCGCTTCTCCAGAGTGGGATTGCAACCGTAGGATCTGTAATTTCAATGTTTCAAGCACAAATGAATTGAGTGTAAATCGAAGCTACCGATCAACAGATGTACCTATTATTCACGCTGTCAGGTTTTGGAGGCTTCTCATGCTAAACGATGCGGAGGTGATACTGTGAGTAAAGACACGCCCAGTGGCCATTCCATCAGCCCCTCTGGTCAGGATGCCAAGGAGTTTCTAGCTACATCTGCAGAGAACGAGAATCTGGATGCTGAAACATCAAAAAGGGTGGAGCGTGTTGTTCAGGAAGGGGAATCTGCTGTGCAAGGGAAGCTCAACACTCTTTATAGGTATTTGAAGCGAGACCCTTCTTCGAACGTCTTATGGCTTGTGAGTGATAAACTGCGGATCAACCAAATGTGAACAATTGTGGGTCAAGAATGTTGATGTGTCAGGCTGTTTTGAAGTAATGTTTGGAATGTTTCGTCTGGAACCACGCTGATCTTTTTTTTCTGCATTGATCAGCAAGCGGCGTCAGTTATCATCTGAGCTTGCTAGTGCAGAAAAGGAAGAGAAACTACTTCGTAAAGAGGAGTGGGCAAAGCGACAGGTCAGTTTTAGTGCATTGATTCCGTCACATGTATTGGTTTGCCGAATTCGCTCTGTTCTAGTGGATTAATTAAGTTGACGAGATACATTAGCTTGTCTTGTATTCCTGAGCATCTTCATATGTTACAGTGCATGTGGTGTTATCGACCTTTGGAATATCGTGGGTTGGGTTCGTACATGTACGAAACGGGTAGTATTCTTCCAGGTCGAGGTTTTGGGTATGCGCAAGTTCGGCAAAAGCGTTTGCAAATGGCTTGTACTCGTAACTTGAGGTATCTGTGTTTGTTTTTCACCTCTTCGAACTACTGTTGCGGAAATATTGCAGGAAATGCGGAGGGCTGTCATCCGAGAGGCGGATGTAGTTCTCACCACACTCAGTGGGAGTGGAGCAGATGTATATAGTGCTTGCATGGAGACTTTTGTCCCTGTAAAAAAGTTTGGAGGGCGAAAAGATGTTCCAGAAGATGATTTTTTCAGTGCAGTGGTCATTGATGAAGCCGGCCAGGTAGTTTCTCGACCGTTATTGGGATTTACAGCAGTGTTGAGTGTATATGTATGTTATAAATTATCATTGACTAGGTTCATTGGCTTCGGTTTGGTGGTTGTTTTTCACTTAGTACTTTGACACATTTTGGAATTTGAATGTCACTGCCTCCTTATAGAAGTTTATGATAAGTACGTGTAATTTTCTCTTGTCGTTGGAATGTAATATTGTCTGGGTTTGTTCATCAAGTAGTAATTAAAATTTGGCAGTCCTGGTGAGATTTTCTAGCTGGAAGCTTTTAGTTCTTTTGACAATACTATTTGCACTGCGCTTCGCAGGCCCTTGAACCAGCAACATTGATTCCGCTTCAGCTCCTAAAACAAACTCACGCAAGATGTGTGTTGGTAATATTTTTGGTACCCGTGGTCTTATTCAGTACCTGCTCCAGCCACTTTCTGAATGTTAAGACAGAAACTGATATGCAAGATGACTGATGTCGTGTTGGAAATGAATAGGTTGGAGATCCCAAGCAGCTCCCTGCAACTGTCATTTCACAGGCCGCCGTGAAGATGGGGTATGCTACCAGTATGTTCGAGCGTCTGCAGCGAGCCGGATATCCTGTGACAATGCTCAGTACTCAAGTCAGTGTTTCTTGATACATGCCTATTTGTTTACGTTGCTCACTGTAATACTCTCTGATTGCACTTGAAGTTAAGTGTTTAAAAATTGTCTTTTCCGTTATTTGTATACACAGTACATAGGTATATGCATGTGCACGCAAGGTTTTGTATCTAATTTCACTCAAAAGTTTTTACGATACACGTTTTAATTTTTTAAAGTTTAAAATTTTCATATAATTTTTATTTTTACTTTTAAATTAATCAATAATGTATTCAAAGTAATGCACTCATAAAAACTCGAATTAGTTAGAGTGGTGCTATGTTCTCGCCTATTCATCATAGTTTAGGACTAGCTTATCTGGGTACCTTGGTCTGTATTTTTGGATCTAACCATTTAAATGTCGAAATCAAATCATGGAGAAACCAATCATATCTTGAGGATGAGATGAAGTCCCATGCAAATATATTGTACTTTTTCTTATCTTCATATACCTGATTTATTTATGCATTGTGGCATTTCTCAGTATCGGATGCACCCAGAAATCCGGCGATTTCCGTCTGCGCATTTTTATGACAACCAGTTGACAGATGGTCTTGTTGAAGGGTCTAGAAAGGCGCCTTTCCATAGTGAATGGTGTTTTGCACCTTACGTTTTCTTTGATGTAGTCGATGGTTTCTCACGAACTACAAATTCCAATTCGTTAATCAATGACGCTGAAGCTGATGCTGCTCTAAATATTTATCGATTTTTGCTGCAAAGGTGATTCTTTCCTCTCTTTATTTTTGCATTTTTTTTTGTATTCTTTTTGTACTTTTCGAAATACAATTAAACATCATAGAAGAACAGAAAAGACAACAACTTCGTAATATTGTCATCGCGTTTTTGGATTTTAATACTCGTGGATCTGTAATCATGATTTGTAATAATTTAGGCATGTTGGTCGCATCCTCTTAATAGTGTATTTCAATGATTTTAGGTATTTGTGGCGATTTTCTGAACAATGCGTGTGATCGAGAGTAGAAAACCTCCGCCCATATATTTGGGACCTGATTTTAGGGATTCTGCCATAATTTTGTAGTAGCTTTAGTTAAACTTTTAATTAAATCACATTTAACTATCTTAATTTTTTGTTTTTTGATTGCTCAGGTATCCAAAAGAAACAAATTCACGAAGTTTTTCGGTTATTACCCCGTATAAACAGCAGCTGAACGTCATTCAGCAACGTTTCATTCGATCTTTAGGTTCAGCGAAAGCCTTGAACATCGAATTCAACACTGTGGATGGTTATCAGGGACGTGAGGTGGATATTCTCATTTTCTCCACTGTCCGTGCATCGGACAAACCAGGGATTGGGTTTGTAGCAGATATTCGTCGAATGAATGTTGCACTCACTCGTGCAAGGTTCTCTCTGTGGATCGTTGGAAATGCTTCTGCGCTGCAACAAAATTCCGATTGGGCTGCGTTGCTTTCAGATGCGAAAATGAGGCAGTCATATTTCCCTATAAAGTACCCATATTCTTTCCAAGATGGGGTGAACTCTAAGCCACTGAGACCAGTAAGTCCACCTCCAGGGTCGCCAATGCATAATCTAACAAGCAGCGAAGCATCTACCGGGATTACCGTGTCATCTGAATTAAGCCATGTAGTTCAAAACTCGACGGCAAGGGCAGAACATGGAAAGGTGAAATCAAACAGGGGTGAAGTCATCGATTCCTTGAAACCAGATATTCAACCAGGACGAATTGAGCACACACCGCTGGAAAACGAAAGCAGCAGTGGAGCTCAAACCGTGGGGAGTCACTCTAAACAACTGCATCCAAGTGCTGGGAAACAGACACAGAATACTACAGTGGGCGAACCTTTAATACTGCGACATGATTCATTTGTCAGAGATGAATGTAACAAACAGTCAAGGACTAGTGCGTTAGGGAACAAAAACGATAAGGATCAGCACTCAGATAGCCTAAGAGCTTTGACAATCGACACCCACTCAGGAAGACGAGGAAGATCTCGGGTTGATGTTAGTGGCGTTCAGGATTCCAGCTCCCGGAGCAGAAAGGAGGTAGGTTCTAGAAGAGATAGCGCCAAAATTGAGACTAATGATAATGAGAGAAGAAACTCCGAGAATTCTCAAGCAATCATTAGTGAAGGTGGTCCGGGTCATAATTTTGAGCTTTCGAACGACATTGGTCTTGGTCCGGATAAGATCAAAAGATCTTCCTCTAAGGAAGTTCGGACTGGTTCGAGTCGGGCTATGAACAGCGCTGTTCCTACTGTAGATGTTAATCAAGACTCTACGCGCTCGTCGAGAGAGAGTTCTAGAAAAACAAACGTAGACAGATTTGATCGGAATCGATCGAGCTCCTGCGATCGCGGCAGTATGTCGCATGCTGTTGCATATCCGGATGCAAGCTTGTTAAGTTCTGAGCCATGTACTGATACTAGGTTCGATTCCTGCACAAGTACATCCGCTATTCATGGTGACGGTCGGAGGTCTCCGTCCGGACATGGCAGTACAAATTCTCCACTCACAACATCTTCTGTGGTAGAGAGTGAGTGGGAACTTTATATGAGAAGACTGCGAGAGGAAAAGCAGATTGGAAACTCCATTCGAGACAAGCGTATTGATCAAGTTCCAAACCCTGGTCCAGACAGACGGACCAACCGAACTGCTCGTTCTGATTTAGATTTACGGACGAAACAAGCTCAAAGATCTGAAGTAGGCTTACAGAATAGACAAACTGGGAAGCCTAATTCAATTACACGTCCAAGACATGCAGAGAAACCCGATTCGAGTATGCGGAGCCACCAGATTGGCAAACATGATTTGCATGCACAGACAACACAGGCTGGGAAAAATTTTGCAGTTAAGAGGCCACCTACACATCCTCCTCCTAACAAGAAACAAAAGGTGGGTTGCATATTTTTCCATTGAAGTTTGCTATTCTCCTTGCAACGGTGAGTGCATTACTATTTGTTTTTCTTGATTTTGGTAATGTGCAATGAATGTATCGTATTGCTTTGACCTTTTGTAGGTACTAAGCGGAAGACAGCCGAATTGTAGAGAAGTGCTTTGATCTCAACTATTGGAATATAAATAAGTTTTAATTAACTCTTAATTACCGTAGTAGGCGTATCTGGGCATTTTCTTGTGCCCACTGCCACATATTTACTTCGATATTTCTTTTTACACAGGTTGCAGGAGAGGCGTCAGGTGTACCAAACATCGCAACTGGTTCAACTTTGGACGATATCCTGTCAGGATTAGGTAGCCTAAGCCGCTCGCAAGTTATAGGAACTAGAGTGATCGACCAACCGTCGACACGAAAACATACAACACACCGTCCCTAGTATTGTGGTTATGTAAGGTCATCATTTCAACTTCGGACGTCAAAGGACTATGTTGGATAATGAATTAATCGCACCTATTGGAGACATCTTATGTCATGACATGTAGTGTCATGCACATAATTAATAGGTCAAGTTTGTACATAGATGAGTAATATGTAGTTTGATGTAGTACATTTTTGATAGAAGAATTCTAATTTTTGGCCATTGTAATTTATTCTTGTTTTGTTTGTTACTGATGGGAAAAGAGGGTGTGGGGTTTGAGGTCGAATATGTGAAAGGGAGGAAAGCATTTGCAATCGTTATCACAGAGACTGGGCTATGATAGTGTGGAGTGAGCATGTCGTAGTGGAATGGGCTGGAATAGCTGTCGTAGTGGTGGTGAGTTTTATAATGATCCATAGGTGTCCATCTGTGAAATAGCGACAAATGATCATTAGAAGGTGTCCACCGATAGTTCCCAGAGCTTCGATTGCATCGCCTTCAGGCGTGCAGCGGCCTACACTTCCGAGGAACGCTCAAACTCCCAAGGATCCAGTGGAGATCCTTGGTACGTCGACGGAGGGCAAAGAAGCTTTCTGGGCGTTCACAGGTTGCAGGTCTTGTTGGTGTGTGTTACGAGTGCCGAATAAAGATTCACCATTGCAGGTACGAGGTTATCTGTATCAGCTGTGTCACTTCCCCAAAACAGATCTGCGTCTTTTTTACCTGCGTTCTCAACTTCATTGCTACTCCGAAGTGCTGGAACTTCTTCCTTTCATTTAGGGTTTAGGAATTTTGCGGAAGTGTCCACTTACTGTGATCGAATCCATCCGAAATCAGCTCTCAGATTCCACGTTGCTTCCGTTACCTTGGGGAAGAGTTTGATGTACGAGTGCTTGCGACTGCTGATAATGCGGTTATTGGTGTCATGTTTCATGTTGCAGAGCAGAGAGCTTGGGTATAACACAAAGAGACAGCCCTTAGTGCCAGAGACGTTCTCCGTGCTACATTTTTTGATCGAAACACTCCTCGGTAATTTGGAGCTTCAATGTAAGGGTTGAAATATGTAATGAAGTAATGTGATCTTTTGCATTTAGATTTGAGGCAGCAATAACAAGCGGTGGCCGCGGTAGAAGTCCATCTGGTTTTGTAGAAGTCCACTTCTCGACTAATATCTACGCAATACTCAGGTGATACTACTCTAATACCCTGTTGAGACCTATTCATCCGTAAACCTGTGAAGGCTGCCTCTACTGACAATTACTGACAACCATAATGTTACCCAACTCGATCAGCTGCTTTTATAAAAATCATCAAATTTTAGGCGACACTCCGCGGTGAGATTCAAAGCTGGAGTGATAAACTGCCCATTGAGGAAGAACTTGGCAATCTGTCTGTAGAATGCGTCAGTGTAACGAATCCCATCCCAGGAAACGTAGCTTCCGGGCGTCGCGCACGCCGACTGCCCCTGGCAGCGCGACCCGATGTTGCCGCACGTGAAGGCCGAGTTGTAGTTGTAGGGTCCTCCGGAGCCACAACACGCCTGCAGAGTGTTGGTAAACCCTGCCAAAAAAATATCATTATGAAACTGCCTGTGGATAATTTGGTTTGTGAGAGTGTTGGGTGAAACTTACCATAGTTCGACGGGTTGGTGAAGATCTCAATGCTGGCATTATAGTTATCCATGAGGAAGATCTGCGTGCCATCGCCACCGAGCGCGTCCGCAGGTCCTCGAGCGCCTGCTGCAAAGCGGCCCTGTAAGCGCGGTTGATGGCGTTGAGGGCCGCTTTGCAGCAGGCGTTGATGTCATCCACGCACAGGAGCGCGTCCTTGGCCCGGTTGGGGAACTGCGTCAGCTGCGCCGGGTTGCACCCTTGCGGCGGCGTGTTGACGATGAAGTAGAGCCGCCCACCGGAATCATGAAGCGTCTGAAAAAGCAGGTCACTAATTACATCCACAACAAATGCCAAATATAATCTTGAGCAGACATAGGAGATAAGATTTGACTTACGGTGATGGCCGTCTTGACTGCAGCAACAGTGGCTGGAACGAACGAGACGATGACGACTGGCGACGGCAGGTTCAGCACACTTGCGGCGACGAACAGGTCGATGCCTCCGATTTCAGGAATGTAGTACGCGCCGTCGCTGAACGCATTCCACACTGGTTGATACGGACCTTTCGCTGCACATGTAAATCCCAGCCAAATCAGTCTAGATTTTTCGGCACCAGTGGCATTTTCTAAGTGCAATTCAAGTTCCTTGATACCCTTTCTGTATTCTTACAGTAGGCTCCATTCTGTAGATGCAACATAGATTTATCGATGAGTTTGACCAAGATTTAGAATGATAATCTTGCATGTTGTGAAGGGCTTGTGTAGAGAGATTTCGACCATGGCATGATCTGATATTGGTGGTAAGTTACTGTATGGCACATTGGGCGACATTATTCCCTTATTTGGATAAGAATCGTCTTGACGCCGCATCTGATTGAATATGACAGCAAAACATAAGGATCTTTCATTTGTGTCAATAAAATAAAAAAAAATGAGATCACTCTATTTCTTGCCCGGTTGGTGGCACAGTGAAATGGTAATTGTTTTCAATTGGATTTGTCAACGCTTGTGGTGTAGTTTGGGTATTATATGACCAGAGCAAAGGCTGCACGAATTATTATCTCATGGATTGACGCAGACGTGATGCCATGGCTGACGATTATTTTCGTCGTTGTAATCGGTGTTTGATCAGTGTCTGCATTAGTAGTAAGTTGGATTATGTGCTATGGCTCGTGCTACATATCCACACTTCGAGTAGCCATAATCACTGTTGCAATCTGAGGATTGCTTCATGGTCGAAGGCATCAAAAAAAGGATATATTGAATGAGACTAGAAATATATGATGTTCTAAGTATCTTTACCTTTTTTATATTTAAAAAAAGTTCGAAAGTTTTAAATCTTATAGAGAGGCTTTAGAGTTTATAGAGTGAGGAATTGGAGTAGTATCTCAAAAGTTGTTAATTCCAATACTATATAGTGTTGTTTGAATGCACTTCAAGACAATGCATATGCAAATATATCTAAAGACTATGAGCTTGTATATTTCTAGAATTTACTATTTCTTTGATAAAGTGATGATATACCTCAATGTGCTTTGTTCTTGCATGGAATATAAGGTTCTTAACTAACTTCATTATTGATTGATTATTCCAAAATAGGATAAAATTGTCTTCAATTTTTTACATAATTTTTTTGTTATTGTTGAATGAGAGCATGGACAATGAAGATTATATGACTCCTATTTTAATAAGTACTCTTCTTAACCAAATGGCTTCTGCAATTCTAATAGATAGATTCACATATTCAAATTCAATTAATGATTTTATTACTATTTGGTGTCTTTTACTTTTTTATGTAATTTTTACTCTAATTATAATAAAATATTAACGTCATATAGATCTTTGTATTTTGAAGCATAATTAACATCAATATAATCTTATATATCACTATTTTGTTTAGATTTATAGTAAAGTTCAAAATCAAAAGTTCCTTTGATGTATCCAAGTATTTGTTTAGTATTTAGGGTCACATGTGTGTTCTCAAAAAATTGACATATTTTTTTTGGAATTTTGAATTAATCTACTCCCTCCGTTTTCAAGAGTTGTAGTTTCAATGGTGCAATTAACTTTATTTATGCTCCTTTCATTTGATAGATATAAATACTTAGGATTTAAGGTTTAAGATTTTAGAATTTAGGATTTGGAGTTTAGAGTTTGAAGTTATAAAGATATCTTAGTTCTTGAACATCAATATTTTTAGATTTTGACTTGATCCATTTCTCTATTTATAGTATATAGGATTTCAATGATATAACTATTTTCTTATACATGTTCATAATTTGAGAGATATAACTACTTTGACATGGACTTTAAGATTTTGATTTTTGTCATACAAGGGTTTTTAATTTTTTTAAAGAGTCCATTAGATCCATTTAGAGGTCACCTATTCTAAATATATGCTTGAAGTTTTTTAAAAGTGCATATATTTGTAGATATTAAGCATTTGATTATTTTGACTTTTGAGTTGACTTTGCATATGAACAATAATTTCAAAGTTTTAATTTGACCTACCTCCCTATTTTAAGGGTCTAAAAATTAAATGATGGACTTCAAATCCTATATATATTTTATAATTTTGAAATATAAGGCGTTTAACTTGATACAATCTATTGTTGATTTTTTTTGTACTTTGTCTTTTAAAAGTTTTGATTTGACCTACCTCCCTATTTATTATGCTTTTGATTTTAATGGTATATTTAAAATCTTTAATAATTTTATAATTTAGAAAATATGAGGTTTTAAAAATAATAAAATTTATCTTTAATTAATATATAAAAAATAATTAAAAATATATAATAAATACAAAGAGGCTTTTAGATACTATTATAATATATTAGATAGAGTATGTAGATATATTTCTTTTTTTATTACAAAATATCATTTTTATATTACTTTTAAATATTATATATATATATATATATATAAATATATATTATTTAAAATTATATTATCTATGTTTTAAGCCTATAATGGATTAGATATGATTATACTAATTTATACCATACTCTTGAATAAAGTAGTAAACTCCTCAAATATGATCTTCATATACTCCATCTTTTTTCTAATATGCACCACTATTGGTCTTTTTCAACATTAGTCCATCTACACATCTATCTACCATCCTACTATAAATAAATCAATGTACATTGTGAAAAAATTCAAAGATAAGAAGACAAATACTTGGATCATCTTATTTCCAACTATTGTAGAGGGATTTCCTTGCTTATACCAATGCTTGTTGACTTGCTTGAGTACTTTTCTATTCCCTTACTTGTTGAAATTATCGCTCCATATGCTTACCATTCCATCCTATTGCTTGTCTAGTAAATATTAAGGCATCTTTGACTCAAATAGAAAGTACACATGAATTTCTTTTATGAATCTCATTTGCTAATGTTGTTAAATAATTATGGAATATTTTAAAAAATCTTTGTAAAGATCCTTCTTGTATATTAAAAGGACCTTCTATAATTCTTTCTATGCCATAATACTCAAAAAGGTCAAGATTACTACACAGTTTACATCCATTTACTATTTTTTTTTTGTATAAATACTAAATTCTAATCTCATGCCTAAAAGATAATATCTTAATATATCTTTACATATTCCTTACTATCTTGCTAATAGATCACTTTAAATTCTAAATTCTAAATCCATTTTGATTTAGTCTAATATATATTGTATGAGTTGTCCTAAACATATTATATAAATATTATTTTTGTATGATAGCTAATATTGTATGGCATAATTCTTAATAGAGCTTGACTTTGATTATATAATTATCTATTATTGGCTTAAAAAAATGATCCATATCTTTTTACATTACATATTTTGTATACTTGACCTTCTACAAATCTTTGATTTTGTAATTGAGTATTACTAAACTTAAAGAATATAATATTACTCTCTAAAAAATTGACTTTATAGTCATAGAATTTAAGATTTAGAGGTTTAAGATTTAAGATTTAGGATTACATATGTATCTCCAAAAAAATATTATATTTAAAAAATAAATAAATTGACCTACTTCTTCTTCTATTTTAAAGAATTGTGGTTCTAATAGTGTAATTGACTTATCCTATGCTTCTTTTATTTCGTAGTAATAGATTCTTTGATTTTTGAATATAGAATTGACTTTTTTATTAGTGAGAAATTTTAACATTTTGAAATGATATACTTTCTTATTTTGGAATATTATGAATCTAAAAGTGTACTTAGTTTTTTGAACAAATATATGATTTAGATGATATAAAGGTTTTAAAAATGAATTTTAGGATTGATAATTTTTTATATTTTTAGAATTTTAACCAAGATTTAGGACTAAGATTTAAGGTTACAAGGGTGTCTCCAATTTTAAGGTAAAGTATTTAGGATTTAAGATTTGAGGTTTAGAATTTAGACTTTAAGATAACATGTATATTTCCAAAAACTTGGCATATTTCTTTTTGAGATTTTGAATTAACCTACCCTTCTATTTTTAAAGGTTATAGTTCCAAGGATTTAAGATTAAGAGATTAAGATTTAGGGTGTCCTATAGGTTTTTGATCCTAAATATCACACAATTTATTATATTTTTGTTGGTTTTGAAATTTTTCTAAGGCATATTAGGTTTTAGGATTTAGGGTTTAGGAGTTATAAGAGTGTCCTAGAGGTTTTTGATCCTAAATATCTCTTAATATATCATATTTTTTTTATTTTGAAATCTTGCTAAGGCTTATATTGTCCCAAAGACCTCTATAAATGTTTTTGTTTTTAAAAAATACGTGTTTTATTTTTATTAATTTAGGATTTATGAATCCTAATTAGGATTTAGGATTTAGAGTTAGGATTAGAAATATAATTAGGATTGAATTTGAATAAAAGATTACCTTCTTTATAGATACTAAATAATGTAAAAATAAGGAAATTTTATAGGAAATGAAACTAAATCCGTCAATATTCCTCTCTCAACTCCAAGTTGTACTTCTTCCCTTCAATATCCTAGATTCTTGATATTCTATCCTTGGATGCCTTGCTTTCATTCATATCCTACTGTCTAGATACAATTGCCTCCCAATGCTTTGTCTTCATCAATATCCTGTCCGTTCATAGTATATCCTCGTTTATATCCTTCTCTTTTAAGACCCTGCCTTCAATACCCTATTTCTATCGATATCCTCTTCTTTCAATATCTTACTCTCAATACCATATTCTTATACCTTGCTCTCAATATCCCACCTTTAATACCTTGCCCTTGATACCTTATACTTATTATTACAAAATTAGAATACTGATTGGAAACAAGAAGCTCAAGAAGAATCGACAAGAACTAGTTTAATCAAATGAGTATAAGAACAACACTAGAGAGGTGAGTTAGAGCTCCAAGAAGTGTGTTGTCAAGACTAAGGATCCCCTCAGTCTCAACTCATATATATACTACAAGCTAGAAAGCTTCTCAAGGAGCTTCTACGAGTTAGAAAGCTTCTCAAGCAGCTTCCACAATCTATGAAGCTTCTTAAGCAGCTTCCACAAACTGCAAAGCTTTTTTAAAACCTTCTAGAATCTTCTACAACTTCCTAGTATATATCCTTGACATCACTCCCTCCCCTCCCCCTCCCCTTTTTAGCTTCAAGGTCTCTGAGAAGCACTCCTATTGCAAGTTAGTACCAACGTAAGAAGTTAAAAATTTATCGCATAGTGTTTACAATATATTCCAATTGTTGTTTGCATGACAAGTAGTTCATTGGTCTTTGTAATCAACGATAGTATCCTACACCTTCAATTTCCAACCAGGCATGAACTTCCATGTCTTCATTGTAAAAATGCCCTGCAAACACTTCTTCGAGAAGATC